GATCATAATGAGATCACGCAGAGTCGTTTGAAATTACTGTTTAATTTCAGTTTGTCCAATTCATTACAGTTACGAAAAATTTATTTAAAAATAAAGGGCAGAATAAAGGCGCGCGAAAACGTTATTTTAAGTTGCACTTATAAAAGATTCCAATATGAACGCCTTCAACGTTTTGCGAATATCGTATTCTGGCCAATCCTTAACAACATTCAAGGCTATTTATGTACTTAGTCGTCGCTTTTCGCCATTACCTGAAAACATTTTGAAAATATGCACCTATATATATGAATCACACGTGTCGTAATGTATTGAACTTGACACATTTACTGCGGTTGCCGTTTTTTTTTTTCGTTTTGTTTTGCTTGTCTCACCCACTTGCGCACATCTTTCATATTAATTGTATTTCCAGCGAAAATTTAAAAAAAAAAAAAAACTTTACAAACTGATTGTGTGTATAAACATGTGAAGCTGATTTACTTGTCAGTAGCACTGTGATGGATGCATTCTTCGCCGAGTGTACAAATTAAATTATCGGCTTGAAGCAGAGTTACTACTACATACATATAGATATGAATCGATTTCGTTTTGTTAGTGAGCAAGAAGAATTTTTCAAAATAATTTCGTTAAGTTTCAGAGCTAAATAAGTTAATGAAACAAAACTCAATCTTTAAAAGTTGGGGGAGTGTTGCTGGAGTGACGGTCCTTGGCCAGATATAAGCAGATATTGAGCAGAAGAAAGCAGTGTCTAAACTATGTCGACCAACATCCAAAAAAGTTTTTTCTCATAGCTGTTCTCCTCGGCAGGTAATAGCAAATCTCCAAGTGCACTTCTGTCATGATAAAGCTTCTCTGCCGTTAAGAGGCCGCTACAAGCGTTTTTAACCTAATAAAAGGGAAAAGCATTTCTTCTTGAAAAAAAGAGAAATATGTATACGTTTGTATCTTAAGTATTACTTTTCAGTTATTTTGTTACATACATATTAACTAAAATTCGAAATTAAAAATGGACAAGTCCCAACAGCTGCCACAATGTTAAAGTCTAATTTTTAAGATCGCCTGGTTTTAATAAGTAAATTGTTTCTAATTATGTCATTGATATACATACATACATACATATCTTGTTATCTGAGAATTTGAATTTTACGCGCTTTAAATCGCTTGCCTATGATGGGGGCGAATGAGTCATTTCCGTTTTGCCTGTGAGCAAAGCAACTGATCGCTGGCATAATTTCGTGATCTTATTCAGCATTTCAATGAACATTTGACTTTTTTGTTGTTGCAAACTTAATTAAAACCATTTTTTTTATATTTCGTTATTCTAAAGACTTTTAGGCTTCAACTAAGGATTTTAATCCGATTGATTTATATGAAATAATTTGATCGAAACAAAGTAATTTATGTTGTAATGTGAATATAGTTTTAGAATCGAATTTCAATTTAAATTATAAATTGTTATTGTTTGCAACTTATGTTTATTTTTAATAATTTTCATTCAAAATAGAAACCACATAAACAAAAATTTCCATGCTTGCATATATTTCATAAAAATTAGTCAAACTTTAAAAAATTTTCATACAAATTTGAAACTTTTTTTAATCAAAATTTCTGTAAAATTTTTTTGGTATGCAGTTTTGTAGCCCATTCAATTCAAGTCTACTAAAGTGCTAGTTTGAAGTAGGTAAAAGTTGCCGGCGATTTTTGGGAATTTTTTTTTTCGAGGCTGTTGCGCATTTTCATCCATATAAAAGTAGATTCTGTCCGTGGATTATATGCGAAAAAGCTGCACATATTTTCTAAGCTTTGCTGCATTAATAACGTTTTCGTGGTTTCAAAAATCACTTAATTTACCAAAAAAATAAATAAATAAATAATGGTGGAAGATTTTTTTTTTAAGTTTAGACTTATTTATTGCACATGGCATTTTTTAAATGGCATACATTTTTTCTCATTACAATGCTTAGTGGAATAATACCGAATTTACACTAGGCATTAAAATTACAAAAAATTGGAGGCAATTAAAAAATGCCATGTGGAAATGAATTTAGTGACTGAATGAATTTTTGCCATTTAATGCCTAGTGGAAATTCAGCCTTCTAGTAAAATTTAAATGCACGGTAGAACATGTTGACCCCTAACGGGTCCCTGCTCTATGTGTATTTTTTGCCCTTAACTAGAAAAGGGACAAAAAAGGTTTACGTATTGAGTTGCTATAGGGTTCTCCGTCGTTTGGTAATTATTTTAGTGCAGACACAAAAAGTATGCCTTTCCAAAAATTTAAGACGAGTATTTTGTATTTTTATTGTCGCATGTCTTAAAGAGGATTGCAAAAATCCGGCATAATTGCGAGTTTCGCTGAAATACCCCCAAAAAATGTGCATATACACAAAAAAAAACCTCAAGTTCAAGGTGAATTTTCGCGCGCTGAAATGTATTTATGGCTCCCCATGTATGGATGTGTTAGCCTTTAAAAGGAAAACAAGAAACAGATGCACTCACAGTGCAAAGTATGTACGAAAAAGAGTTTATTTAAGTAAAATGCAAATAAGTTGTATGAATGTATTTTTGCCATGTATTCCAAATACATATTTATTATTATTTCCTCTTTAGCAGCCAGTAGGTGTTTTGTTGTATTTACCGAGCGACTGCAGCGTTGCCAAATTTAAAACAACATTTTTCGGTGTCTCTTACCTTTTCATTTATATATATATTAAGTTTTTTCTTTTGGCATTGCACCTTTACATACTTTAATTTTCATAAAATTACTGCTTTGATAATTCGTTGAGGTGGGGGCCATTCGGTATGTGCAAATTAATTCCGACATTCATTGAAGAAAAAACAAAACGCTTTCAATTTTCTTTGCCATACAGCGGCGTTCATCACAGCATTGCCATTTAAAAAGTCCACTGACGCAAATATATAAGAGTAAAGGAAAAAAACAACAAAAATATAAAATAAGAAAAACAACGGCCAATCAACAACCATGCTTCATGTTTTTACTGTAAAAATTGTTGGTTTGACGATTATGACCATGCCATGTCACCATTGCAGATGTGCTACCGACATTCCAAACCATAATTCGTTTATGCCATCATCACTCAACCATGGAAAAGTGACCAAGTAATAGCCAAATAAATGAACTCGTTCATACATATTCCGCTATCCAAGCAGGTTTACTACGGGTAAACTCGCATCATACACGTACATTTCCATTTCCTCTTCATTGGTTTCGTTGGCTACTATCAATTTGATTACGAACTTGCAATATATGTAGCTCCATTATAATGATAGCCATCATCATCATCAACATCATTACAATGCGGTCAACATCTTTACCATGATTACGATTTCTTAATAATAGTTGCGTATGAATAAAATAAACCGTCACCGTCGTCCGTCCTGCTTGCTTGGTTTGGGTGAAATTCACAAAACCTGCAAGGCAAGTTCAGCAGTTAGTTAGTTGTACTGAGTACAGATATACAAAAACTTGTCGGTTTCTTATTTTTGAGATTTCACTTGTCTCAGTAGCGTTCGTTTACCTTACCCTGCGGCTGCGCTGCACTACATAGTGAAGTTAAATAGTTATTCGTGATTTCGTATGATTATTAATAAATGTACCAATTTGAAAATACAATAATGCAAAAAAAAGCCCTTTTATATTAAAAAAAAAAAATAGTTAAACTTTAAGAAAGGCTTCAAAGCTGAGGGGGGGGGGCTTTGAATTTACCATAATTGACGAATATGAAATATCTACACTGTTACTCATTTGCTTAAACTTTGCCACAGCTCAAAAAACGCTATTTGTCAGTACAATTTATGTTAATGAAATACATTTCAGGGGTTATTGAAGCTCAAGTTCCACGAAAGCGGGCTTCAATTCTCAAGCAGAGTTTTCGAACCATTTTTCACCAGATATTCTTGATGGGATTAACAACATCTGAGCAACAAAACTAATGGAGGCAAGAATGTTCTTAGAATATAATCAAGCTATTGCTTACCACCTGTTCATTGACATTCTCACAGTATGCACTATTTTCTGAGGATAATTGCGGTTGATTTTCCAAATTTTAGTCAACACAGAGTACAGTATTCATCTACGCCAAACCACCTACTGAATACTTTGAACCGATATCTACTCGTAATCATTAGCGAATACTCAAAAGAACTTATTTTTTAAGTATAGTTGCGTACTCAATGTCGATACTTTTCTAAATCGATATCGATACTTCCAATGTGTGCACTACATTATAATTTGCTTACTTGTAGTTACTTTTTATTTGCAGTTTAAAGAAGCTTACAAGTTTAGTGCAAATAAGGCCAACATCTTATATGTTTGTACATATGTATGAGTATATGTATATTATGTCTATAACAGAAATTATATGCAATTTTTCCAATATTTTTCCTTATAAGTGCACTATTATACTCAGCAAATATTTTTGCCAATGAATCACGATTACAAACAACAAAAATCGTTTAAATAAATAAAGTATGCATTTAAATAAAAATCGGTTTCATTACAGCTCAAGCTCAAACTACTAGTGATTAGAAATCTGTTATGCACGCTATGACTCATTCCAGAATTGCAACAGGAGAGCAAAAAAAAACTCTTGTAAAAAATGTTGTTGTCATTAGGAAAAAGTGTGGCACTCGACACTTTGTTAAAGCCAGTATGTCTGCTTTAATTAAAGTCACGGCGACCTGTAGCCTTAATTACACTTAAAACATTTACTCTACTGAAATTTTTATAACAAATAACATTTTCCGCTACAGCAGCGATTGTGGTTAAGGCTTTTTTTTCTTGAGAGCTGAACACTATTCTTAAAAATTATTAAACTGCTGTTGGCCAAGGGAAGGTGTGTTCGTTCCAACTTGCGTATATATCTTTTTTACGCAATTGATTGAATTTACATATACATATGTATATTAAAATAAAAATTAAAAATTATTTTTATTTTCATTACCGAACTAATGTTCATAAACAATCTTTTACTTAATTGCAGATTATTTCTTCACTGGACTGAACTGAGTTGAATTGTGCTGACTATATAGGAAGAGCCATCACATATCAAAATGTCGCGCAAATCGGTATGTATTAAATGGCTTATTTTAGTTATAAGGCAATAAGGACAAATTAGATCACAACCCCCTCTAAGAAATTGCAGGAAATTTTTGCAATGTTGTGACTTCAAAAAATGGCAATCTCTATAGTTTTATGCTGCTTTAAAATGGCAAATGTTCTTTTTATGAAAATATTTTTCATGACAGAAATTTACTGAGGTCTAAAAAACAAAAATTTTTTTATGTTGGTCGGACCAGGAACCAAGCCCGGGGTCCTGCCATCAACAAAGACTATAAATCGAGGACACTTTTATTTATTTAGTAATTAATTAGTACAGTAAGTGATAATTTATCACTGATAAATGATTTTTTTTTTACTACTGCCAGTTTTCATATTAAATTCAAATAAAAAAAGTTATTTTTTCACTTAAATTGCTCTCATGAAACTGGCTTAAGTGTTTAAGTTTAAGAGCTGCACTACGTCCCCCTTCAACAAGTGGTGTTATTTAAGTCCGCTAATTTATAATTTTAATCCCAACACTCAAATGAGTAAAAAATATACATTTGCACTGTGTTATGAGTATCTAATACATTGTATACCAAAATTTAACAGAGGCGAATGTTCGTTACGCAAATGTAACACTTGAATAGTCTGGTTTTTGCTTTTTTGTCGTAGTTTTTTTTTAGATCTAAAAATAGTTTTTTTTTTAGTATTATAATTAGATTTCCTAGTTGGCACAAAAAACACGACAAAATACCGTACCGTGTCGTGCCACTTGGGGTTCTTATCTTAAATAATTCTAGGAAAGGTTAACATTGATTCAATTATAAATGCAGAAATATCTATCTACAATATTTTAAAATGGGAAAATAAGATTTTTATCAATTTTACATACGATGTTTTGCATTATCTTGACACGCGGTTTTGTATTTAAACGACGATATGTATAAATACTCGTTTCTTTCAAACATTTTTATGCGTATCGCTTAGATTGTTAGAATCGATTATAAATTAGATATTTATAATGCGTCAATTCTGCTTTAAAATGTACCGTTTTTTGGCATTTTCTATTAGGCTTGTTTGCGTCACTATTTTGTGACGTCATTGCCTTCCTTCCTCCGTCCTTATAGTTATCCAGCGTTTTATTTATGACAATTTTAAGTTTTGGTATATGGCAAATTAGTTGGCCAGATTTATAACTTAACTTTTGTTGCATTTGATATGCTGATCTGTGAAAAATTTACTATCCCAGATACCAGTGTATTTCCGTACAAGGGCAACTAAATCGCCTAGAAGGCACATTAAGGTTATCTTTCTTAGTTACGCTGTATATCAGTGGCAATAAATATTAGCAAATAGGGGCAAATAGTATTGCTTGCTGAATAGCTAAACGCTAAAAAATTTGATTTATTACTTAACATGGCTTTCATTAAATGCACATCACATTTTTTTTTTTTCGAAAAAAGTATATCGCTAAAATTTTTTCCGAAAAAATGCTCCAAAATTTTTGAAAAATATAAATATTATAGGTTTTAGGTTTTAAAATTTATTTCTCCTTCAAACAAATTTTTTTAGAACAAAATTTGTGTTTAAAAGGCAGATAAATTTTAAAATGTATGTACTTCTTACATTTATCATAAAGGGTTTTTTGCCATCTTTGTCTTCGTAATGCTCGTTTGCTGCCGCCTTCATTTCTTCTTCCCTCGAAAATCTTCGTTCTCGGAGGTTTTTCTTCAAATAGGACAATAGAAATGAATCGCCGGGCGATGGTGGGTGGTTGAAAACGTAATGATGTAAATGACGTGAAATTCGATATTTACTACTAAGAATATTAGCAATTAGTTCATCGCTATTAAAAACTATATGAATCAAATTTTAATACTTTGTACAAAAATTAAAAACTCAACAGTTTCATTAAAATTTGACACTTTCATTAAATTTTAGTATAATCAAACGCAAGCTTGAAGTTTCTGCAAAATACCCTTGGGCAATTTTTTTTTTAATTTTTTGAAAATTTTCTAAAAATTCTGAAAAAAAAATAATTTCGATGAAACTTTTTTGATTTTTTTTTTAATTTAGCCCATAATGGAGCTATATTTCTATAAAAAAAAAAAAATATTTAAAAAAAAATAAAAAAATAAAAAATAATCAAAACTTGTCAAAATATGGCTATCGTATAGTTATGATAAGCACTATAGTACATACCCAGCGAATTATCCAAAAATAAGTAATAAATGAACTGACAGCTGACATGCTTTCTTTATCCCGTTCCACCAAAAACGACATGTGGGCGCAAAGTTTGAAAATAAATAGCAACTTATTGATGTTTCCGTTTTGTTTTTTTTAGACCTTGTTGTTCCGCAAGACTTTGTGTTTGTTTTGATTCTTAGCATGAGTCAGTGTGCCACATACAATTCCATGACTTTGTGGATTTCATGCTTTTACGCAATTTTCATCTGTATTCCAATCCGATGAATCGAAAAATGGGCTTGGCGCTCAATCAATCGTATGGTCACAGGTGTACACCAATGAGTAGTAAGTTAACTGTCGCAAAGCATTTTCTGATGCGCAAAATCATTCAATATACATATGTATGTATGATAAATAAATATTTTGCAAGAAAGCCCACTTTGTTAAATGTTGCGTTCATTACTTTATGCTGTGGCCGTTGAGTGACCTACTGCGCTAAAAAGATAGCAGTAGGAAATTGTATGGGTACATATGTATGTATGATTTATTTCGCTCACCTCATTGGACTACTGTATGTAAATAAAAGTATACACATATCTGCGTACAAACATACATACATTTGTACATATCTACGTATAGGCAATGCTTATATGTACATTAGGGTGGCCCTTAAAAAATCAAATGAGCGATTGTTTTCAGTCTCACCCCTTCAATCGGTAATACCACGGTCACAAATATCACATAAAAATTTTGGTCCCGATTGGAGACGGTTTAGATGTGTCGCACAGGGGCCAAAATTCAGATTCCTCTATAGAGACTCAAAAAACTAAAATTAATTTTTTTGATAACTCATGCCCAAAATCGATACTACCGGAGTCGAGGATATCACATATAAAATTTGGTCCCGATTGGAGACGGTTAAGATGCGTCGCACAGGGGGCCAAAGTTCAGATTCCTCTATGGGGACTCATGTGATAACTTCGACTATACTAGCATCGACGTAGGGGTTGAGGCTTAGGAAATCGGATGCAAAAATTTGCTTCCTACATTTAAGGACCACCCTAATATGCATACATAGTAGTTTATTTGCTCAATAGCACTATTTTTTAACAATAATTGAATACTAGTAGGTGTTCCATTTACGCATTTTTGCGTAGTTAATTCCTTCAGGCATTCACTTCCACCTAGAATGGTACGTGCATTTCTGCATGTTTATGTTTTTTTTTTTTTATGCAACACTGTAATTTACTAGTCCCATGTTAAAAAAATTCAATGTGCGATGTAGGGGTAGAATTTCTAAGGTTGCTCCCCATTACTAAGTATGATCTCCACCTCTGCTCTGATCTTTTTACTTCACTTCCATTTGCTGGATGATTGAGTAGTCAGTCTCTAATGCGCTAACTAAGTAAATTATAAACAAATACATATATATACATACATATGTATGAAAGCACATATTTCACCTAGCAAATGCTAGACTTTGTTCCATCTACATACATACATACATATGCGCACCCACACTCACACGTATTAGCCTAAGTCATACGACGCTATTTTCGCGCTAAAAGTGTATTTCCGTTTTCGTACTAGGCTCGCGTGTTACTAACTACTCTCCATACATTTGTTGTTGTTGTTCTTGTCAATTGTGCAGGCGGGGCGTGTACATACATAAAACATACCGTCGTTGTACGATTCGTCTCAAACATCAACCTGCACTCAGGTGTACCTTTCCCATGTTAGCTCCAACTGACCCACCCTTCCATTGCCTCCTATGGCGTTGAGGCTATCCACTTTGGGGGTTGTTGAGGTTGTTGAGGTGGTTTTGAAATTGATTTATAACGATGGGCTTTGTTCGAAAGTGTTTCAGTCTCTACATAACTGTCTATATAAACGGTATTTGCGTGCGGTATCTAAAGGAACAAAGAAAGTGAAAACTGCAAAGACTAGATAGACTAGATTGAAACGAATTCTCATTAGCCATATTTGAATCTAAGTTTGCGAACATCTGTACATAACAATTTATAAATTAAACAAATTAAAATTTGGCAATATTTAATTGCGAGTTTGTAAACATTTGTAGCAATTTATAAATTAAACAAATTAAAATTTGGCCCAATGGTCGTTTCCGATAGTCGCGTCCGACTGCCGCGCTATGTGGGCAGCTGGAAACAAAAAACGGTTAGTGCAAACTAGAATAAATTAATTAAAAATAGTAATGAGTATTTATTTTTTTTTTTGTAATAATTACATTTTGCATTTGATCCCAATGAAAGCTTCGCCATACAAAATACCGCTTCGAAAAAAAAAAATACAAGTGTAGTGGTTCAAACTTACAATCCGAAATATTGCTTTAAAAGTTTCAGTTTAGACACCAAGAGATGGCACTTCAAGCATGGAAAGTCAAATTTAGACCTGCATTTGTCTGTGCGTTCCAATCTGTCTTCCGGGATAAAAACACAACATGGCTAGAAAAGTCTTAATTCGCAGAATATTTATGCGCCGTTAAAATTTTGTGCCTAGATTATCTAGAAAAACTTATATTTTAGAACTTAAAAATTTTATGTACATACATATGTACGTGCAACCAGAATGCAATTCAAAAGTATCTTTTTTTCGCGTTGATTTTACTGCTTGAAAGCGGTCGTCGTCGGTCGGCCCGTCTTTTGATCAATTAATTAAACAATCGAGCAAGTCTTTTAAAAAGTTCTCAGTTCATTGTTAAGATTGTGAGAAGATTTTTATTTGTGAATCCCACAAAGTGCAATTTATTTGACAATTTTCAGAATTCTTATCGTTATTTCACGCCACTTCAACACACACTGCTTCTGATATGTTC